CGAGGCGTCGTCGATACTCGATTCAGGCGTGATGCGGAACGCAGTGACGAGGCCCCCCGAGAAAAACACTATGCAGAATACCTGGCTGGAGTAAGGCCACAAAGGGAGTCCAAACATGACACTCTGCGGGGCACCCTTCTCGACGATCCTCAGAACGTGTGGTAGAGCCACCATGTGCTTGTCCACCAGGGCCCTGTAATACGACGCCCGCGGTGCAATGAGGATCGACACAGGCTGCGCGCTATAGGAGGAGCTGAACGGGGTAAGCACACACTTAGGCTAAAACACATCCCGAGGATCAGCGACGTCCTCGCGCATGTGGGCGCGGACGCATGCGGGCGGCGCTCCTGGGCCCTCAGGTGGGCCTCCCCATACGGCCACGAAGCGTGTGAGGGGTGTGCCGAAATGAGCGGCGCGGACGCACGCGAGCGGCGCCACAGGGCCCTCGGCTGTGGCTCCATTCGAGGCCACGAACCGTGTGAGGGGCGTGCCCAAATCAATAAGGTGGGGACGCATGTGGACGGTGCCGCTCGGGCTTTCGGTGTAGCTCTCTATGGGGCCACGGAGCGTGTGAGGGGTGTGCCGAAATGACTGGCACGGACGCATGTGGACGGTGCCACTGGGGCCTTCAGTGGAGCTGCCTATGGGGCCACGAAGCGTGTGAGAGGTGTGCCAAAAGAGCGGCGCGGACGCATGTGGACGGTGCCGCCGGAGCCTCTGGCGGAGCTCTCTCTGGGGCCACAAAGCGGCTGAGGGGTGTGCCGAAATGGGCGGCGCGAACGCATGAAGACGGCGCCACTGGGGCCTTAGCCAGGACTCCCTATGGGGCTACAAAGCGTGTGAGGGGAGTGCCGAAATGGGTGGCGCGGACGCAGTTGGTCGGTGCCATTGGGGTTTAGGTTGGAGTTCGTATGGGGGGGCCACCGAGCGTGTGAGGGGTGTGCTGAAATGACTGGCACGGACGCACGTGGACGGCGCCACTGGGGGCTTGGGTGAAACTGGCTATGGAGCCACAAAGCGTGTGAGGGGTGTGCCGAAGTGGGTGACGCAGACGCATGTGGACGGAGCTCCTCATGGGGCCACGAGGCGTGTGAGGGGTGTTCCGAACTGGGCGGCGCAGACGCACGTGGACGGTGCCACTGGGGCCTTGGGTGGGGCTCCGTATGGGGCCACGAAGCGTGCGAGGGGTGTGCCGAAATGGTTGACTGGTGCGGATGGCAGAGGCAGGGGGCGGGGATGCGAGGAAAAAGGAAGGGCAGCGGGAGGAAGGAAAGGAGGGGCGCAATCTCTTCAAAACGAGGACCCAACACAAAAGATGGCTGGGACAAAAACATAATTCCCAAGAAGCCTGGACCCGTTTCCCGGGACATCCCGGGACCAACTCTTCATACCGAGTCGTATCTTGACGGTCCTCGGGCCCACTACGGGCCCCCAGTGGCCAAAAAAGGCCCCAAACCCTCCGCCGCTTGAGTTTCACTACCAGAGGAGGTCTGGACATCGGTCGGGCATGTCCCCCTACAGGCGGAGTTTGGACGACGTTGCAAAAAATGCTGAAACATGCGCAAACATAGTCAAAATAGAATCGACAAATCGTCCCAGAGTATTTTTGGACATTTGCGCTGTAGAGGGACGTGCTCAACTGAAGTCTTGACCCTTACCAATCCCCGCCGCCCAGACATACACCGATGTGAAGCTTCCGAGGCCCCAGAGATCCCGACCCCGCTCCCCCAGGGGGAGAATTTTACGCCCCGAGTCCGTTGTGGGCCTTGGGGCTTCATAAGCACGGGCCCTGAGGAAAAGCCGAAACCGAAGGAAACCGAAGAGCACAAGGCCCCTTTTGCAATACTGCGCGATGACGCCCGTGACTGGCACTGTCCCTTCCCCCCCCAGTCATATGGGAACTAACAATGACATCAAAATAAAAACTCTGAGGTCCGCGCGGATTTCTCGGATCGGCGCTGGACCCTGGCGGCGCCTCTGGCGCCGCCACTGGCGCGCTCCGCGCGCCAGGGAAGGGGTTCCAGCGCCGCTCCGAGAAATCCGCGCGGACCTCCGAGTTATTATGCTTATGTCTTTTTTCGTTCCCCCAAATCAAGTCACGCTTCGCGCCAGCGACGTCTGGGAATCAGCCATCCCGCTCCCCTCACGTCACGCCCGTGATCGCTGGGGGATCACAGGGCGCTCTCTAACAACACATCGTCGGACATCATGGCCCCTCTCGGGCGCACGCCAACATGTATCAGGGATCCGTGGATCTGGCGTGTGGGCGCCAGACCCTCGGATCGGGCAAGCCACCCCCGAAAAATGAGGCCAGTCCGCCGCATTTGGCGACGGATCGCGCCGATGCGCGAAGAAACGGGATCCGCCGCTGATCCTCGCGCCTTGATCCATGCGCAAGTTTCCTTACCCCTCGCGTCCACCCCCGAGCATCCCCACCTCCTCCTCCTCCTCCTCCTCCTCCTCCTCCTCCTCCTGCACCCCGCCCGCCACCCCGCCCGTCCCTGGCGGCGTCGGCCGCCGGGCCCAGGCTCGGGGACTCCGCATCGCAGAGCTCCAGTGCCGCGCAGAAGGAGCCTACCGCCTGCGCGGACGACGACGACGACGCCGTGGTCGTTGACGACGACGACGACGAAGAAAACGACGTCGACGACGACGACTGAGGACCGAGGGGCAACGGTAGGGGGGACTGGCTCAGGTGGGGAGAAAACATCGAGCTGGAATCGGCGACACATCGCTGGATAAGTGGGCCGGTGGTCCCGCATAGCGAGTCCCGATCTTCCTCGGCAGGGTGGGCTATCGGGCCCCTATCGGCGATCGATGGGCAGGAGGAGGAGGAGGAAAGGGGAGAAGGAGGAGGAGGACAAGGATGAGGAGGAAGAGGTGAAGGGGGACGAAAGAACAGAGGAGGAGGAGGAGGAGGAAGTTAGAACGATCTCGACGCGACGCCCTTCGAACCCACCACAAACTTCAGTCCACGACGACGACGAAGACGGCGACGACGACGACAACGGAGACAACGACGGCATCCGACGATATGATATTCCCCGTGCTTGACCCCAGAGAGAGGTCCCGACCGCTTCCCCGGTGTTCGTCCCGGGTCAAGTTTCATAGTCCAGGGCCCAATGACGGTCTCAAGAAGTCAAGATCTGAGAATTACGTCTGGATTGAAAAGCATGCCAACCAGCGTGGCCCCCAAACGGAAGACTATTGCTCTGTGGACGTGCAAGCTACGTGACGCAATCTGCGTGGTGCAAGCTGTGTGGTGAAAGCTACGTGGCGCAAGCTATGAGGTGCAACCTCGACGGAACCCCCAAGAGCGGTAAGCGGCAGCGAGGCGGCAACGAGGCGGCGACACGACGAAGCCTCGACGGACTCCCCAAGTGGGCGACAACGAGGCGGCAACGGGCAGCGACGCGGGGCAACCTCGACGGACTCCCCGAGGGGCGGCAACGAGGCGGCAACGGGCGGCGACGCGGCGCAACCTCGACGGACTCCCCCGGGGCCCCAGGGGCGGCAACGGGGCGGCGCCGGGCGGCGACGCGCCGCGACCTCGACGGATCCCCCAAGTGGGCGGCAACGAGGCGGCAACGGGCGGCGGCGCAGCGGAACGTCGACGGACTCCCGGAGGTGCGGCAACGAGGCGGCACCTGGCGGCGACGCGGCGCGACCTCGCCGGACCCACCCCACGCAAGAGGCGACACCGAGGCAGCAACGAGCGGCATCGTGGCGAAACCCCGCCGTGCATACCCAGCGCACGAGGCGGCAACCGAGCGGCAACGGGCGGCAACGTGGCGAACCCTCGCCGGACCCACCCAAACACGGCGGCAAGGGGTGGCGACGCGGCCAATCCTTGGGGACAGAAGCAGAAACCCCTTAATGCAAACACCGCTTGGGGAACATGGTCGGAAATGGGGTGAACACGACGACGACGACGACGACGACCACGACCACGACGACGACCACGACGACGACCACGACCACGACCACGACCACGACCACGACCACGACCACGACCACGACGACGACGACGACGACGACATCGTTGTCGACGACCGTCCCGCGGGGCCTCGGCATGCTCGCCGAGCAGGGCGCATGCGCGGCCTACGAAGAGGTGGGCCTCTGGGGACGGCCGCCTGGCCAGGAGCACGGCGGCCATGGAGGCGGCCTCCCACGCGGCGGCCGGGGGGGTCCCTCCACTTTTCCTCCCCTCCTTCGTCATCGTCCTCGTCCTGGTCCTCGTCCCCGTCTTCCTCCTCCTTCTCGTCCCCGTCCTCCTCCTCCTCCTTTTCCTGCCCCTCCCCCCCTCCTTCTCCTCCTCCTCTTCCTCCTCCTCCTTCTCCTCCTCCTCCTCCTCCTCCTCTCAAGCACAAAGTGGGCAAAACGCCGTGGGACTATTTTTTGGCTCCAACTCGCCGGCGCCAGTCAGCTTTTCGCCTTCTCGTCGGCGCTTGGGGGACACCAGGGCAACTGGACAGTGGTTGCAAGCTGTTGTGTCGCAGTTGGAATTCTCGGCCCTTCCTGGTGACGAAGGGAAGCGGGTTTCACAATCAGCTACAGTAAGAGGAATGTAGCAAGCAGTGGCCGAGGACCCTGCCGCGGTCACGGGTGTCATGTCTCAGCAAAAAAAGGTGGGCAGGCGGGCTCATCAGCTACGACGCTGGTACTGTGATCCGGCTTCGTCAGCTTCAGTGTCAATTTCTCCCACTGCCGCATGGGGAGTGTATTGGTTTGTCTTACACACCCAGCAGGAGCCATGCTTCATCAACTACAATTATGGAATCTCCCGTCTCCGCCTGGGGAGGGTATTCCAGTACATTTTCTTTGAATGTTGGGCCTCACCAGCTACAACGCTGGAGTCTCCCGTCGCCGCCAGGGGAGTGCATTGCAGTTTGGCACTGGTGGATTTCGCATTGATTATGTATGTTGCCTTTTGGGCGTGTCAGGAGCTGGGCATGTACTCCCTTTGTGCTTGGGCACTTTTTGTATACAAAAGAAGCCGTGCATAGTGCCATGGCAATGTGGACTTGCAGTTCTTGTGCAATGGCAGGTTTGGAGGAATGAAGTTGCGCCTCGGGCATGGGAGCATGGCGAGGCTTCGTGGAGAAGGCGAGCTCCGTAACCGTGCTGCTTTCGCGAGCTCGCTCGGGGAAAAGTTTGCCCAGAGACTGGTGGTGTTTGCTCAGAATTGACAGGGCCGTGTCGGGCCGACTTCACCTCAGTTTAACCTGACATTATTCTCAGTGTGCGGTGAGCGATTCATCAGAGGTGTGCGCGGCAGTGGTCGTGTTTCTCTGGCAACTGCATTTCCTGACCTTCGTCCTCTGGTTCGGCTATTTCTTGTTCGTGCTCAGGGGCCGGCCTGAGGATGTTGTGACGCTTTGCGTTTGTTCCGATTCCTCCCCCTCCTCCTTCTCCTCCTCCTCTTCCTTCTGTTCCTCAGCCGTCCTGGGCAATCTGGGCAATCTGGAAAGGTCTCGGTTCCCACAATGTGCAAACCTAGACAAAAGAGAAGAACTAGCACTCCCCACCCCTCCTCTTGGCCTCCTGCAAAAGCCTGGCCAGCTCTCCCAATGGGGTCCTGTCCAGAGGGAGAGCAGGGCCGACCCTGACACCACTGGACATCGGCAGTCGGCCGTTCAGGAGGGTCCAAAACTCTTTGGATTTCGGGTTGGGGGCGCACCTCAATCCTAAACGCAAGGCCTTGCAACTCCCGCGTGCCCCACATGCTGCGCAGAAGAGGACCCCGGTGCCATGGGGCTCAATCCAAGCCACATGCAGCTTGCGGGAGCTACAGCTGGGAGCCTCGAGGACCCTGCAATGTGACGGGCTCGGCCTCCCTCGACGCTCGATCCGAGTCCCGGGTCGAACCCTTCTCACGCAAAACTCACATCTCCAGCGGTCACCGTTCCAATAGGAAGCGCGTGGGCCTTTCAGCGCACGGCTCCCCCTTGAGCCCACACACCCTACACTAAGGTCCCTGAACAAATCCCCACGGGTCGGCCACTCTGCAAGGATTAAATCCATGGGTGCGCACAGCTTCACAACTTATAGAAGCGCTTGACAGCATGCACAATCTCTTCAGCCTAGAGCGGGGCAGAATCATGGATCTGGGCCCCTTGGCCTGTCAACTAATCAGCGCACTTGATGCCTCTGATCGCAGCATGGCCCTCAGGCTCTGAAGCTCCCTCTTCGCTCCCATGGGCCTTGATCTTCTTGAGGTTGAGCCAGGCTGCAGGGATGTCCGCCGCAATCTTCCTGAAGGAATGGGCCCCCAGTGAGATGTGGGCCAGAGCCGCTTGGGAAATGAAGCCTGCCCTGAGCAACGCCTGGCCATCATCAGTCAGGCTGGCTGGCAGACCTCCTCGGGCACGACTGGCCCCGACCATAACGTCGGCTCTCTCCCCGCCCCCAGACGCTTGGCAAATCAGTTTGGGAACAGGGCGGCAAATTCCACGATGCAAATCTCACTGGGCATCCCAAGCACAAGATCCGAAACCAGCGCTGGCAAGTCTCCCTAGGGTAGGTCGGATGCAGCTGCCGTCAGAGAACAACGCGTCTCCTTTGGACAACTCAAACTGGGCTCTGGCCTGTGGCATCTCTACACTGAAGCTCCCATTCGGCAGCAGGATCTGGGGCATCGAATCTGGGTGGCCAAGCGCGAATGTAAAAGAAGCCATGCTCACCAACTTCCCGGGCACCCCGGAGAATCTCAGGCGGGCACGCTTCATTGCGTTTTCCTGACGCACGCGGGCGCCCCCAACACCAATGGAATGCGGTGTCCAGTTTGCCGCAAAACTTACACTCAATCTGGACAGAGTACCCTCCCTTTGCTGAGGTTCTGGGCGGCAGGGACAGCCCCTCCCATCGCCTGCTTGAGCGCTGGGACCGCATGCGTCGGCAGCTTGCGCGCCGAGCGCAGGAAACGAACCACGAGATCCCAATGTCCTCGCCGTTGGAAGGGCAGGGGGCTCAGGGCGTGGGTGTCGTTCCAAAGCCTTCCTGGCCGCAGCTTGGGTCTTGGCATCCTTGAGCTGCTCGACAAACCTGGCTGCGGCATAGACTGGCGAGATGGCATCAAGTTCGAGTTCGTTCTTGCGTCGGTCGACGAAGATAGATGGGCTCTTGAACTCCCAACCACCTTCTTGGACCCGCGCACTCGCGTCCAAAATCAAGCCCTTGCCGCGTTTGAACCAATGGCGATTGTTCGGTGGCACGGCAGGTCGCTGAGCAGCAGCAGCGCGGTAAAGCTCGGTGAGAAGCTCGGGGTCGAAGCAGTCCGCATGCTTTTGCAGCGCATCAGTTCTCGGGACAGTGGCTTGCCACCACTCAGCGGCATGTCTACAGGTTGCGCTGCCAGCTACTTCCAGCGGATCTCTGCAATTAGACAAGCCCCGCGTTGAGTCCGCGTCGACCCCGCGAATCGAGACCCCACTGGCTGCTGCGGCAAACTGCCTGCGACGGGCAGCTTGGCGCGGACTGCAAAATTAACGTCGCCTCCGTAGGTGACTGCAGGCAGCGCGCTGGCGGCCATCAACATAGCTCTGCATCCGCTGTCCTTTGCATTGAACTTCTTCAGGCGAGGCGCTCGTTTCGTCCTCCTCCTCCACCGCGTGGCCATGGTGGCGTGGACTCGTGGGTGAGCACGGCGCCTTCCTGCCCGGACGTCGATCCCCAGGTTAGCAGCCGAGTACTCCCCTATGCCCCCCATGCTGCCTGCCAGCAGCTCGGCTGGCAACGGAAAGAGCTTTATGCGAAGAGGCGACCATGCATACCTGATGAACCGCAAGCGGGAGGCTGGGCTCTGAAACGGTCTGGCGACTAATGCCAAAAAGGTGTGAAGCCAAGTCACGGGCAATGGCAATCAGATCCGCTCCCCGCAAATGGGGGGCAAGGTCATTCATGCGAAGCGAAAACGTCGCATCCTGGGGCAGGACAGCAGAACGTGCTTCAACTGTTGGCCTCAGCGCCAGCTTAGCTGAAAAAAGCGGCCGGCGTCGACCTGGCCACAATGCCTCGTCGGGGGCCCAGGGTGGACTCCATCGCGCAGGGCCATATCATGCAGAAATTGCCTCGCCCACTTAAAACGGTTGATGCTGGCCAGCAGGCTGGCCATGGGGTAGCTATAGGTGCTGGCACTCTGGGGCAGCGAGCAGTTGTGAACGTGCTCATAGAACTGCATGAGGCCCCACATTGCCGCTACATACTGCAACTTGTTGCGGCTGGCCCCCCCTGGAAGCGCGGCCCGCCACCGGGCCGCGTCTGCGGGGCTGCGGGGCTGGGCGCGTGAATATCCGAGTCCCACCCCCCACCGACTACCCCAAGCACCAAGCTCCTCCTTACTCGGCTCACTGCGCAGGCGGAGCGCAGAAGGATAATGGCCAAGCGCGTCGGCGGCCAGAAGGATAGCGACCAAGGGCGCGCGCGCCAAATCAGCCGACGTTTGAGTTTCTGTGGGCCACTGCCAGTCAGGCCATTTCAACGGAACGGTTTAGCCATAACTTCAAGAACAGTGTCAGATAGAAGGCTGCAGCGCCGTGGGCGCCACCCATCAGGCTCTCATGCATTCTCGCCAACTCTTCTGCTCATATCGAACGCATCTACCATTGCACACAGCAAAACTGCGCCTTGATGCGGGGTCCAGGGGTGGCAAACATAATTCGATTTGGCGCGTCGGTCGGTCTGGGTGGACGGACGCCGCCTCGCGACCTACGATGGAAGGCGATGGTCGCGCCGACGACGTTGCGTGCCAAGCGCGGAAGCAATCACCATGTTTCACGGCGAGGCTCGGCGGCAGCCGCAAGCAAAATCACAGCGCGAACAAGCGCTTCACCCTCGGACGGGGAATCTGGCACGAAGAAGAACTCGAAAGCGCGGGGGATCGGATCGCGAATCTGTCGCTGGGGCACAGGCGGGGGAGGGATGCGGGCTGCGCGAGGTCGAGGCCCCCAAGCATACGGCTGGCTTCGCTGAACCAGGGGATGAGGCACGTCGGCGGGAAGCGGCCCGGGGCGCGGGGCATCGGCGATGGGCAGCGCGGGCAGCCGATGCTCCGCGAAAAGGGGACACGTCCAGAACAGAACGACGGCACTTCGCGGCCGGGGCGCGGCACGCGTTGGGGGCGCGAGCGGCGGCGCCCGACATGCACCCCGCCCCGCCAGCAAGGCG